ATGCGATACGGATTCGATTCGGCTTCGACGCGGATAGGGCCCTCTCGGGGGTGGGGGCGCGCAGAGGAGAAACGCCAAGGGTTCTGCGGGACGTGCTCTGACCCTTCCTCCTCCTCCTCCTCCTCGTCCTCCTCCTCCTCCGCCTTCTCCTCCTCCTCCTCCTCCTCCTCCTCCTCTTCCTCCTCCTCCACCTCCTCCTCCTCCTCCTCCTCCTCCTCCTCCTCCTCCCCCGAGGATGCCACATGAGGCCGTGCCGAAGCGAGCGCGCCCGCGACCCCTGGAGGCGTCGGCCGCGGCGGCTCCGGCGGGCGCTGCCCCCGGCGTGGAGGCCCCGCGCCCCCCCCCCCCCCTGCGCGGCTGCTGCCGTGGAGCCGCGCCGCGCGCGCGCGCGCGCCGTCGCCGTGTTCGTGGCCTCAGCATGTGTGTAAAATTCGCTCAGATCACCATTATATCGTCATCTACCGCTAACGTATCGGCTCAGGTAGTGGCATACATTACCGCACTGCTCTCTGCGCAGCGCCCAGGACAAGGAGTAGCTAACCTCTTCCTCCCTCGCCTTTACCTGCGGACTCAGGTATAGGATCGACCCTTCGGTCGTATCCCTATCCACACAGAGGAGCCGAGGCCGTCGTTGATCGGGCGACAACAGCGATGACGACGACGACGACGACGACGACCACGACGACGACGACGACAACGACGACGACGACGACGACGACGACGACGACGACGACGGTGGCGGCGGCGACAGCGGCCGCGGCGGCGACGACCACGGCGAACACCCCCGTCGCTTCCATCCTCGTCGCCCGATGCGTCGAGCGACGAGGTCGGAAGGCGCTCGTGGGCGGGAGACTCCTTCTTTGTCCGGCTGCCTGCGGAGAGTCCCTCCACCGTGCTAAAGCGCAGTCCTCTGGGCCGCGACTGTGCGATTGGGCACGCGAGGCCGCCACGTGCGTCATCTCGTGTCTCCATTCTTGGAAGAGCTGTAACAAGGATGGTGAGGATGATGGGGATGATGACGATGATGTACATAGGTGGTGGTGATGATGATCGGCGATGATGACCAGTGGTGACGATGATGATGACGACGATGATGATGATGATGATGATGATGATGATGACGATGATGATGATGATGTTGATGATGATGATGATGATGGTGATGGTGATGGTGATGGTGATGGTGATGCTGATGATGAAGATGATGATGAGGATGCTGGTGATGGTGATGAGGATGATGAGGATGGTAATGCTGATGATGATGCCTGTGATGACGATGCTGATTGCGATGTTGGTGATGCTGGCGATGCTGTTGATGGCGAGTGCGATCATGTTGGACAATGTTGATGGTCGTGATGCTCAGGATGATTATATTGCTGATGAGTATGATGGTGATGATGACTATGATACTGGTGTTGGTTAGGATGGTGAGTATGAAGATGAAGATGCAGCTGACCATGAAGATGAAGATGAAGATACATGTGAAGCTGGTGCTGGCGATGAAGATGACGATAGCGCCGACGACGACCACCACCACCACCAATAACGCACCGACGACGAGGAGTAGGAGGACGAGGAGTAGAAGGAGGAAGAGGATGGAGATGTTGATGCTGATGATGGCGATTATGGTGATGCTGGCGTTGATGATGGTGGTGGTGCTGATGCTGATGCTGATGCTGGTGATATCTGGTGATGCTGCTGATGATGATGACGATGATGAGGATGAGGATGAGGATTAGGGGGAGGAGGAGGAGGAGGAGGAGGAGGAGGAGGAGGAGGAGGAGGATGAGGGGGAGCAAACCCGGTTGGGCCATCTTGGCACTGTCTTTTGCTTCCTGTGCGGCACCCTTGCGGGTCCCTCTGGGCCCTCTTTTGCCGTCCAGGAGCCTTCTTGGATGCCTCTAGTGCCATTCTGCAGTCCTCGTGGGCCGTCTTGAGCTGAACGCAGCCCGAACAGGCCAGAATGCGAAAACCATCGATTCAAAGACATTTGGGAAACCAATGGCTTTGGCTTCTTCGGGCCCTGGTGGAGGTCCTCTTGCGGTGGCCCTTTTGGACCATTTTGGATGCATCTTGGGCAGTCTTAAAGCAATATTCGGTCACCGTGGGGCCACCTTGGGTTGTATTCGAGGCATCTTGGGCCATCTTGGTGTCATTGGTTGCCTGCGCGGGCCGTCTTGGAAGCTAGGGACGCAGATCCCACGTTTCCAATGATGGATCGTGGCTGGGGAGACCCTGGATCGTGTGGGAGCAGCGCCTGGGAATGCGGGAAACGCATGATTCTTGAGCGGGTGCGCGTGGGATGAGGCGTCTACGAGGTAGCAGCCGTGCGGGAAGTGCGCAATTCTCTTGCGGCGCGCATGGAATGAGGGTTCAGCCATTAGTTGCCGCCTGGGAAGTGCACCATGCTGGAGAGGGCACGCGTGGAAAGGGGGGTTCAGGCAGTAGGTGCCGTGTGGGAAGTGCACCATCCTCGATCGGGCACGCGTGGAAGGGGGAGCTGTGCATCAGCTGCCACGCGGGAAGTGCGCCATCCTCGCGCGGGCACGCGTGGAATGCGGGTTTAGGCGTTCGCTGCCATGCGGGACTTGCACCATCATCGAGCGGGCACGCACGGAAGGGGTGTTCAGGCATTAGCCGCCATGCGGGAAGTGCACCATCCTCGAGCGGGCACGAGGGAAGTGGCATGTGGGATGCGCGCAAGGGTCCGCGAGTAGAGGGAGGGGCGGCCCCTTATAATGAATTAAAAATCTACCAGGCAGACCTTGCTATTCTTCCACGTCTCAACGTGCCAGGGGGCACGGTGGCGGATCCACGCCCTCGCGGGCCAGGCCCTTGGGCTGCGGCCCCGTGCATACGGGGCGATATGTCCTGGATCTCTGGGGGGGCCTCAGTAGGCGTCGCCGTCGTCATCAATCTGCTCCTCCGCCTCCTTGTTTTTGGTAGTCCTCGTCGTGGCCGTCGTCCTCATCCTCCTCGTGTCCCTGGACTAACGGAACCAATTTGGCTCTAAACGCTGTGAATTCAGAGATTCTGGTCAGAGCGGCATTCCTTATCAACTTGCACTTGCTGACTAGCTCAGGGCTGCTTGGCAGCTTGGCCGTGATCTGCCTGTCACTGGTTGCGCTGCCGCTTGTCCGTTGACTTCCCTCCGGCAGTGCGTCCCACCATGCATACGACCCCGCCGGGCGAGCCGTTGGAAGCAACGAGTTCGATAAATGAGAACGTGCCCCTGCGAATGCACATCACCAGCGACCAGACTCGAGCATTCCTGCGTTCAATGTGCCCATCGAAAAGCACCTCGCGTCCTCGCAGAAGCCGTGGATCGTATTCTCAGGGGCGACGTTTCGCGCCTCGGCCAAGGCGCAGGAGAAGGCACTATTGCTTGATCTCGCGGCACGTGGCAGAGCCCCTGCAGAAGGCGTACAACTTGTGCTCTGTGCGACGAAAGGGGCGGCTCCAGTCAAAACAAGGGTTGGATCAGTCAACTCAGTTTCCAGCAATGGCCAATCTGAGTCGTCTGAGGAATCCTTGGCCTTGATACCGTCTTGGGTCGTGCTCAAGCGCTGCATTGAGCCAGTCTGGGGGGTAGTCTGCTTTCAAGTGGGGCCCTGCTGGAGGCCATCGTCGACAGAGTGGATGCTAGATAGTTGTCCCTCTTGGGCCCCGCACGGGGTGCTCTCTGCGGGCTGTATGGGGTCTGTCTCTCTCTCTCTCTCGCTCTCTCTCTCTCTCTCTCTCCTCTCTCTCTCTCTCTCTCTCTCTCGCTTTCTCTATAGGATTTGGGCACATCTTGCAGGACAGCAGGAGCTGTCTTCCCAGACATGCGACGTCTTGATTTTTTCATACGGGGTCCCTGAAAGTCCCGAATCTCTCCCCTGGACCAATTTTTCCTCCTGAATCGGTTTATTGTCCCGAGGCCCAGTGAGGGCCCTCCGAGGCCGAAAACTGCCAAAAACCTCCCGTCCTGATTTTTCACGACGCGATTCTGTCTGGGTGTTTGGGCTGGCAGTTCGTGCTTGATGCTGGCGTAGCGGGAGCACCCCAGGGAGGCACGGGGCCGCCTCGAGACAAATTTTTGGGGGCCTGGCAGAGCCATGCTGGCGGTAGTGTGGAGGCCAAGCTCCTCCTCCTCCTCATCCTCCTCATCCGACATCTCTGACGCCACAGTGTTAAGGCGCCGTCTTGGAGCAGTACTGGGCCCTCGCGGACGCTGCAGCTGCTCGAGACCTGTCGCCCAGAACATATGGAGACTTGCCGCCGGGCCCCATTGGACGGGCCTTTCGATATGCGGTCATTCGGCGGCGAGCGAAGGGGGGTAAGTGAGAAGGAGAAGGCTTTCTCAGAAGGCGGCGGGACTTCGCAGATGCCCTCTCGCCTTCTGAGAAGTGTTTCGTGTCTTCGTGGAACGCTCAGAGTTGTGCTCAACAGGCTTGGGGTCTTCCGAGCCTTCTGAGAAGTCCGCCCCTTCTCGTTTCCCCCCGGGCGCGCTGCCTAGTCATGGGGAAGGCGGAGCTCCTGCCCTGGGAGAGGATACACCGAGAGGACGTGCTGGCTCACACAGCAATAGTGATGCCCAGGGGAGGCCCTGCGGATCTTCTCGCGTGGGTTCTGGGACAGGATGCCGATCGGGGATGGTGTTGGCAGTGGTGCTGCTCGTTGGAATACCTGGAGCGATCCCATAGACGCACCTCATCATGCCTTCTTGTTTCATTATACATTTGAGGAGAACAACATACTGCGCCCTGCGCAGGTACACGAGATGAGCGAGGAGGGGGGTTAGGGAGGGGGAGGGGGAGGAGGAAACGGTCGGGGAGGGCGGGCGAGAGTAAGGGATGAGGTGGAGGGTGGATGGAGGATTGGGAGGACCAAGAGGAGGACAGTTTGGGAGGAGGACAGATGCGCAGGCGAAGAGGGCGGAGGGAGCGCCCATGGGCAAGCGCACGGCACGCCCCTGGCCTCCGACATACGCCGCACCCAGACACACCCGCCTCCTCCGCAGGCCCGGTTCGGGACCAGCCCTGTTGCCCGATCGGCCCGGCGCCCCCCTGCTACGTTTCAATGTCAGGCGCCGGGCGATGCTGGGCGCGTGCGGCCGCTGGTCCTTACAAGCCTGAAACATTCGGGGAAGCGTAAAAAGACTCGAGTAAGCCAGATTTCGGGTTTGCCGGCTTTGTTTGATTTTGACGGTCCAGTTTTCGTGGGATGTTTGCAGCAGGAGTTCGCGTCAAATTTCAGATTGGGTCTCGTCAGTTTCATGTCGTCCCCCGTCAGGCCAACCCGAGTCCCCCGAACCCGAGTCTTCTGTTTCCCCGAAGCGTGTCATTACCCTTATGGTTGGCATCATCGTCCCGATGCTCTAGGCCTCCCAAGTGGTGTCCGAGATGAGAAGGTCGGTGGATCGTTCCATATCGCAGATGCATCGGGGATGCAACTCGATGTGAAGCCCGACTCTCTCCCAGATGGCGTCGTCAGTGCATCGCCGACATTGCGGATGGATTGTCGATGCGTCGGCGATGGGGTGCAATCTTGCGACCCCATCTGCTCGCACCCCCGTTGGGAGGCCTTGAGATCTCTAGATGTTAATCTTGAGGATTCCCTCGGTTTCAGAGGGCGCACCTTGGGAATGTTATTGCCTCTGGGCCTCTCGACCGTGGGGTCAGGCATGAGCTCGAGGCTGGCTACGGCCAGGAGCTTCCTCAGCGTGTCGCGCCGCCGGTTATGCCCCCCCCATGCTTCGGCGCGACATGCTGACTACGCCCCAGGCCCTAGGCGTCAACAGCCCGAGCATCCCGCGGATCCCCGCCCTCGCGGAGCGGAGCCTTGGCATCGCTCGGACGTGTGCATGCTTCCTTCGGCGAGGACCCTCGAGGAGCATCCTCGATCATCTGGCGAAGGGACCACGCACGAAACCGAAAAACAGGCAGGGAACGGACGTCCGAGCGATGGCCAGGAGCGACACGCTGCCCGCTCGCAGGGCACAGCGTGTGGCCGGGGGCCGCTGCCGCGACGCGCCGGGGCAGCAGCTCCCGACCGCAGGTCCGCGCTCCTCTCCACGCTGCTCGGCGGCGCGGCGGGGCCCGCGCCCGTCGCGCTCGGGCGGCGGGGCGCCGGGCCGAGCGGGCGGGTCGCCGGCCCCGGGAATCTGACGGGCCTGCTGCAGGCGGCGCGCGACGGGGACGTGCTGCTCCTGGTCACCCAGGAGCGGAGGACCCTGAGCTCGGCATCGCTCGGACGTGTGCATTTTCTTCTTTTCGGCGAGGGAGGACCATCGAGGAGCATCCTCGATCATTTGGCAACAAAAACACGCGCGGGACCGAGAAAAACACAGGGAATGGACGTCCGAGCGATGGCGAGTGAGAGATCCTGGCGCTGCAGCTCTTCCACAGCGGGCGTGCTCGCTCGGTTCTTCTGGCCCACGTGGGCCCTCACGGGGGTCGGGGGTCTTGCGATGCTGCAGTCTTACCGCACCGCGGGATCTCAGGGGAGGAAGGGCCAGGGGAGGAGAAGGTGATCACCGGGACCGCGGCCCGTCCTGGAGAGCCGTGCAAGTCGCCAGGGCCGGACCTTCCTCGAAATGCGGGTCAGAACGTACACCGGGATAGGAGGAGGAGGAGGCAGGAGGAGGAGGAGGAGGCAGGACGCAGGACGCAGGACGCAGCATAGAACGGCGAAGCATCCGACAACGCAACGACGACTACATAATTCTGGGCGAGGGTGATAAAACACCAGCCGTCAAGGAAAACCAAGCAAATTACGGATTAGACTGGACGAGCTTGATCCCAGTTGTTGGGTGCGTGCCTTCCGAGCGCCAGTCCCTGGCTCACCCGCGGGCAGGGTTAGGGGGCTTCGTGGGGCAGGACTCACCGAGGGCCTCGATCTTGGCCGAGCCCAGGGCAACTCGGGCCCCGCAAATCCCACAGAACAGGAAGGACCCTGCCCTGTGAATATGGTGCCCGTCGCACACGAGCAGACTCCCACCCGCCTCCGCACCCAAACTGGCAGCAGCAGCGGCATAGGCAGCCTCACCCTCCCCCTCGGCATGCTGGCGCCAACCGAGCCGCTCGGCAAGAGCAGCAAGCTGGCGCAGCATCGGCCCAGGCTCACACTTAGCCCCTGGCTTGTGCAACGACTTGGCACTGGCTGGAGTCGGAGCAACCGCCAAACATTGCCTGCGCTGCAACGCCGAGGATCCCAGAGCCAGGGGTACGGTATCGTGAGCGACAACTGCCAGCCTCGGCTTTGCCTCCTTGGGCGGCCGTGGAGGGACTGGGGCAGCACCAGAAACATCTGGCCGAGCACAAATATTCTTAACCGCTCGGGCCAGAAACTGACATGACAACTTGCACTCCTTAATGGCCTCCTGGAGGGACGTGGCCGCAACGTCGGCAACGGCAACATCAAGGGCTCCAAGCTTGGCGAAAAAAATCCGCCCATGCATTACCCATGAACCTCCAAATTTCGCCGGCACACGCTCCTTGCTCAATTAACCCGTGCAAACAGAGGTGCGCATGAGTCCACTGGAACTCGGAGGAGGAGGAAGAGGAGGAGGAGGAGGAGGAGGAGGAGGAGAGACGCCACGATCATCCGATCCAGGTTCGCTCAACGTCAAAAGGAGGAGGAGGAGAAGGAGGAGGAGCAGGGGGGGGAAGGAGGAGGACGGGGAGGAGGGGGAGGAGGGGGAGGAGGAGGAGGAGGAGGAGGAGGAATAGTATTAGGAGGAGAGGATGATGATGGTGATGATGGTGATGATGATGATGACGATGATGATGATGATGCTGATGATGATGATGCTGCTGATGATGATGATGGTGATGATGATGATGACGATGATGACGATGATGATGAGGAGGAGGAGGAGGAGAAGGGCGGACGATGATGATGCTGATGATGCTGCTGATGAGAATGATGATGATGCTGATGATGATTATGATGGTGATGGTCGTGGTGGTGGTGGTGATGATGATGCTGATTATGATGCTGATGATGATGCTGATGATGATGATGATGATGAGGATGGTGATGATGATGATGATGATGATGATCATGATGATGATGCTCATGATGCGGATGATGCTGATGATGATGCTGATGTTGATGATGCTGATTATGATGATGATGATGATGATGATGATGATG